AGCACTAAATAGATGTCTAAAGTCTGATTAGACTGATAGACAAACTTGACATCAAATTTTGTGTTCTAAAGGTATCAATTAAATATGCTATTTAACAGACAAACTTTTTACAAATATGTCACGTTATTTTTGCATTTTTTGTCTCACTCCCACCCACAAAGGTGGATAGACTGATAGAGACTCACACTTGATCTTTATATGTGTAGAAAAGACATAAATACCCTCCTATTGAGTCTTGAGTGTTTCATATTTGTTCTAATCTTATTTCTTCTACCCTCTAAAAACACACAGATGAATGGGTGTCAAACACATGTTGATGACACTGAAAATCTAAAGTAAGTTATCAGTTACTACTTACTAGTTTTTGTTCTTTAAGCCTAAATGTTTTTTTTTTTTTTGCATAATTTAATTATTTTGCATATTTATAGGACACATCGAAGCATATTGGTTGGAAATATACGTGTGCTTTTTAACCCAAGTCGTGGGGATATTAAGCTCGGTCAGGTACTTAACAAAATTATTATTATTATTATTATTTATTATTATTATTATTATTATTATTATAACAATGATTAAAAAAGTGTATTGTTTAACATAATCATACTGTTTGAGCAAATTTTGACACATTTGACTTTTTTTTTTGACCAATAAGGTACGATTATTTCTTGCAAAGGCTCATAGACTTTTGGAGACATGGGGCAATATACCAATTATACTTGGTGGAGATTTTAATAGTATGCCTCAGGTATTAAATTAAATATGATTATATTGTTTTTTAATAGTATGTATAAAGTAGAGTTAAACCTATACATTGTATTTAAATATATATTATAAAGAATTTAACCAATCTATATTTTATTTCACTTAAACATTTGTGTGTCCTCATCTATTCATATTTTTTTTCAGAGTGCAATGTATCAGTTCATAGCTTCATCAGAGGTTTTTTTTTTTTAGATGCAGAGTTTTATTTACTATGAATCTATGATGAATATCAATGTTTAATATTTTATGTTTATTGATTTATTTAATTTTTCTTCTCAGTTAAACATCCAACACCATGAACGCAAAAAAATATGTGGGCAGAATTGTCCATTACATTACCCAACATTTCAGTGTCATAGTAATTATTATTCTTCTAGGTCTGTTAATCCAATTATTTTTTCACCTCTTATCTGTGCAAAAGACGTAAATGCCCTCCCCTCCCCCTCATCGAAAATTGCCTTAGAAAGCTTCTTCACTGTCCAGCTATTTTTGATAATGAGAACAAGGACATTTACATCTTTTGCACATATATAAGAAATTGCATTTTGTAGTATTTGTCCCATTTACATGAGTCCTTTTTTAAAAGGTGGAATAAAGAAGAAATAAGGTTAGCAACAGGAACAAAACACTCAACTTACCTTAAACACAAACTAAAACTCACAAGTGCATATCATGGAGTTCCTGTAAGTTTATTATTTTCTCTAATTTCCTTTTTATCTTTTTAAATTTTGTTTGTGCTTCAGTGTAATTATGTAATTTACAGTTTCTATATGAGTTGGTTATGATTTTTTTTTCAGGCGACACGTTTGACAAGAGATGAATATGGAGAACCCTTAGCAACATCTTTTCACTCCAGATTTATGGGGACAGTTGATTACATATGGTAAATCTAATTACATATAGTTTATCCTAAAAGTTGAGTGCATATTTTACCTTACTTATTTGATGTCAAGTATGTCTAAAAATGCAAAAAAAAAGTTTGTCAATGACACTATCATTGACTTTTATGTCAAGTATGTTTACCTTACTTATTTGATGGAATGAATTACTTTCATAACAATCCATTTTACAAATATAAAAACTTAAATGTACATCAGACTAGAAGTCATTACATATGAAATTTTATTCTAACTTTCTAACTGATGATAGATACTTGAAGAACAAAATCAGGCCTGAAGAGAGACAGAGGTTTCATTTTTTCAATAGTTTTTTTCTTCCGGAAGCTAGCTGACCCAAAAAAGAACCTCTAGATGCCCTTGAAGGGAAAACAGCTTTTCAACGCGTAAGAAAGTGGACATGAAAAGTTAATCTTTTTGAGAAAGACTTTGTCTTTATTCCTGTAATTTACAAGTAAGTTGGAAAACAGTTTGCTTTCTATACATTTCATTTGAACAGTTGACAATTATTTCTGTTGTTTGACAGCTATCATTGGAGTCTTATTGTGATGTGTCATCTTGGGGAAGTTGCGAAATACAAGGGTATATCTGTCATTTCTCTTTGACATCTTCAAGTATTTTATGAGGCATGGTTATCCCTTTTTTCTAATGTTATAATCTGGTTTATAGATGAAGAAGATGTAACTGAGTTGATTAAAGTGCCATGTGTTCTACATATGGATCCTATCAGAGGTAGTCATACTGGTTTGAAAGGTCTTATGCAAAGGTAACATTTTTTTTATTATATAAACATTTTATTTTATTTTTAAATTATAAACCTTTAAATATGCCATTCTAGCTATCTGAAAGAAGAGTGGAAAGGGAGGCAGCAGGAGGCATCTAAAGATATATCATCAAGATTCGATAATCTACGCTTTATTTCACTTGAGGTATCATCTGGATAAATAATGTTTCAAAATTATTTGAGAAATGGAAAGGAAAAATATACGAGGGCAAAATTGTGAATTTGTATTAAATTCTAAAATCTGAATTTTGTGTTGCTTTTGCAGTTACCACAGCAGCCGAATTCATTCGACTGTGGTTTATTCTTGCTCCATTATGTAGAACTTTTCTTGGAGCAAGCCCCGATTAATTTTAATCCATTTAAAATCACAAAAAGTGTCCACTTTGTAAGGACATGGACCATTTATGTAAAAATTAATAATATAAGTGAGCTGTTGTTTGTGAATATGTGACTCAGCTAAATACGGATTGGTCTCCACCTGCTGATGCATCCTTGAAAAGGGTGGTTATTCAGAGACTGGTGTATGATCTCCTACAACAACCTTATGATGAAGCTGAAGCCTTTTACAAAGTATTTTCCCAAGTAAGTGCAAAAAGATTTCTTTTGGCAAAGTTTCATATCAATTTTGATCCTTGTGTTAACTTTAACAACCCTTTTGTTAAATTAATAAATATGACTGTTTTGCCCTTATCCGATTCTTGGATTTTATATTTCATTGGATGCTTGCAGCTTTGACCAGCCTTTTGAAGAAGTTATATATCCAAAAGAGGATGTTGATGTTGTTTCCATTAGTAAGAGAGACGTTGATTTGCTGCTACCAGACACATTTGTCAATGACACCATCATTGACTTTTATGTCAAGTATGTTTATCTTACTTATTTGATGGAATAAATTACTTTCATAACAATCCATATTACAAATATAAAAACTTAAATGTACATCAGACTAGAAGTCTTTACATATGAAATTGTATTCTAAATTTCTAACTGATGACAGATACTTGAAGAACAAAATCAGCAAAATGAAGCCACTTGATTTAAATCTTGCAGCATTATCAGCAAAATGCAATAAAGACTTGGAGTTGAATTTGGCTAAGTCATTATTGAGTGAGATGGGCCAATGTACAACTGCTTATCCATATAATCAATTGTTTGGAGCATTAGTCTTAAAGAATTATGAAAGGAAAGATGCAACGTTGGAATTTGATGTACATAGTAGATTGGATGCAAATTTATATATTGTAAGAAATAGAATTGTATGACATTAGATTTATGCAATGGATTCTATTTTTTGTATATGGTATTTTATTTGCTATTATGAAACATTAAATACAAATTTAATTTGAAAATACGTAAATATATAAATAATATATTTTTTTAAACATTTAAAATTATGATACGCAAAAATGTGTGTCATATTCATTTATGACATGGCCTTTCTTGACAGGGGCTTTCTTGATACGCATTGCGTGTCATTAACACGCGCGTCGTAAGGTTACGACACACGAATGCGTGTCGTCTTCCTTTATGACAGGGCCTTCCTTGATACGCCTTGCGTGTCGTAAACGCGCGTCGTAATTGCACGTCGTAAATGAGCGTCATAAATGCGCGTCGTCTATAGACGACGCGCAAAAGCGCGTCGTCTCTCTTTATGACAGGGCCTTCCTTGATGCGCATTTGCGCGTCGTCTGAGCCTTTTACGACGCGCAATGAGCGTCGTAAAAGGCTGTTTTTCTAGTAGTGAGTTCAGATTTCTGATACTAGATTACTTTGATAAGACTTTATCAAAATCATACACCTTATCTTAGATAGCTCACAGGTCTGTCTAAACAATTTCAGAACTATGAAAAGGGATTCCATAATCATAGTCTTAATTGTTTAGACCTTTGCTATTTCTCATAGGTCCATGTTAGTGTGCCTACTAACAACTTTGAGAATGCAAAGATTACTATCTACTTACAAATCTACTTAGTGGAAGTGTTTCCTCACCATCATTTTCATGAATCGGAGAGAAACCTTATGACACTTAGATTTTTATGGTGTATGAGTTCCGACCCATATGAATTTGTCAAAACCTTAGTCACAGCACACGGATAATGGCAAATCCAAACACATATGGACCGAACTTATGCAATTTTAACTTCTTTCCACCTGGAAGTACAGGACCTGCCATTGCTTCCAAGTTGTTATGCAACTAATTGAGAACTCTAAGAACTCATATGCCAAGCCAACTTTAACTGGAATGGGCACAAAATATGTCAACACGATAGGTTATAAACCTCAAGTCGTGTGCTAGTGAAGAACCTCAAGTTTTATTCTTGATTATTTCTTGAGACTTTCAAGATCTTTAAGACTCCCACTGTCCTCTTGACATATAAGACTCTCTTGTCAAATATTCAAGGGATAGTGCAGATTCTTTATCAAAACAAACACTTCACACAATTGGCCTAAGTTGGTCTTTGTTTTATCCAAAACATCACAACTTACCAACTTCAAGTGTACAAGAGTAGGAAACTTTTACTCTTTACATTTGACACATGTTTTTAAACCTTTCTTTAAGATATGTCACTCAAGTTATAGTCTTAGAGTATGACTCTAAGACTTGTTTTGAAACGAAGTATGACTCATCTTCTTTATTTGACCGCTTCAACAATTCATAGCTCCTCTTCTTAGCTATCAGAATGCACTTAGAGGATGAATTGTGATAAGGTCTCTTTCATTAAGATGATCATATAACATGATACTAAAGTACTCTCCTATCTTTTCAGATTTGAGAAACTTTTATCCTTCTGCCTAATTTGATTCTTCTCATTCGTTCTACCATACATCAAAAATTTTCCAATGTATCAGAATTACACTTAAGCCTGTAAGTATAACCATATTTACTAAACTTTAGTAAATCATGACGAATAGTCTTAATGATTATTTGTGGTGGGCTTGATCAGTGCACAAAACTGTGTACTCGATCTTTTAGTCCTTTACTTGACTCACACATCCATGTGAACAAGTTATTAGTCTTAATTTTCCAATGCTTGAAATTCTCATTCATCATACTATACAACTTGCATGATTCCAAGTTTCGGTCGAATTGAAACTTGGGTGATGAAAATCTTTCCTTATTTGGTAAATTTAGACATTACCACAAATGAAAGAATCAATTTCATATTTCCAGTCTTGCTATTAAGGGAATCTTATAAGTACAAATATTTTCACAAATGCCATTGTAAGGATATTTTAAAATAAATAAAATCTGAAATTTTCGTTTTATTAAAAAATACACTTTGCAGAAAAACTAATCCTTACATTGCAAATGTATATGAAAACTTGTTGTTATGTATTCCTAAGCAATTTATCATAACTCTTAAGTAACAGCCTCAAAACTCTGATGCGATTGAAGTCCATCTTCGCGATCAGAAGCAGCATATACTTTCCTTAAGCTTTCTCTCCTTTTCTTTGATTCTTATAACATTACCATGTGACTCAGTCACATTATGTAATAAGAATCTCCAAATTGGAGCTTAGTAGAGTTAGACAATGGACTTTACCTGAAGTAGAGTCAAACTTATTGACTTTAACATTCTTAGGTAAGTTTGGCAGCTTCGTAACCAAAGCCCCTTCCTTTGGCAATAGAAACATATGGACCCTTATGTAATTGTAAATGGGACTATCTCAGACTTAGCATTTCTGTTTACCATTTTGTCAACGAAGTTCACTATGGCCAATCCCGATTGGGAAGAGAATGCTTTTCTGGATTTCCTGTGTCACTATTGCCCTGTCCATAAAGTTTTGGAAAATTGATCTCCTAATCACATTTGCTTTACTAGCCTTCCAAATCATTGCTGATTTAGCAGTACCAAGCAAATAGATAAGATCATTAAGGGTCATGTCATAGTCTGTTTCATAGGAGTCCCAAAGGAACTTACTATGTGACTTAGAAAGTGATTGAACATCCAACTTTCTCAAGACTTTGACACCCAACTCTCCTGGCTTGTCAATATGTGACTTCATCTCCAAGATGTGATCACACCTAGACCGTGCCTTGCTAATAGGGCTTGAGTGACCTTGAACTTGTGGGTTAGGAAGAATAATTGGAAGAGGTGGAGGAAGTGAAGTTCCAAGAGATTTGGGAAGATCATAGATGTATGAACTAGACATCTTTTGGGAGATATTCAAGTTTAGTTGATTATAAGTCCTTAATATAACACCCAATATGAAATATTAAGGCTAGGACCCTACAAACTATTTATAACTCGGAAGAGGGATGCCGTAATCCAAGCTATAAAATATTTGAAGGTAGGTGAATGACGATTCACCAATTTCCACCATGGAAAAATGAAATAATTTATTAAGTTTTAACTGGATTTGAAACTCCTAGATCTTTTGAGATTCATTGGACTTTTCAATGACATGTTTCAGTCCCGAGTGTGCCCTTCAGGTTTTGTGACTGGGATGCCGAGGATCACAAAACAAGGTGTGAAATAACCATGCAAATTACTTGGTACTCTTAAATGTTTATCACCCAACCGATGTGCCAGTAAACCAAACACGCTCCACCGGCCAATGATTAAACTTTAAGAAACCCTTTGCCTACCTTGTTAAATCAAGTCAGTGTGCTGGTAAACCACACACGCTCCACCAACCGACTTAGGAAAAGTGAAAAGTGTATTTTCATGGGTTAGCACCTTATTCACATTTTCCTAAGTAACTAAGATTGGGAATTATAAGTGTTTAGTTACTTAGTATTTATCATTAATACTTTTAATGAAGGGAGAACTTATAGTCTTTGTCCTACTCGTTCGGCTAACGACCCTCCACCAGTCAAGGAAACGGTGGGTGAGAGTGGACACCCATTAAACTGCCATTTTATAGGTAGTAACCTTATACCCCCTTATAGACCGTCTTCGTGAATGAGGCCTACTAACGGTAAGACTAAATTTTACTCTTATACATATATATAAATATTAATAACTTATAATATTATAAAGTATAAGGGTTGAATTTTAACTTTTAAAATTCTAACGGCTAACTTGGAATTAAAGTATTCATAAGTGAAACTTTTCAAATTCCAAAACTTGAGGGCAAGTTTTGAAACTATTCAAAACTAATTAATTACATAACTTATGAGTTTAAAGTAGTCTTAATTAAAAAAAAAACTCTTCGAGTTCCATAACTTGAGGACAAGTTATGGAAGACTTTAAACTAATTAATAAAAAAAAATTATTGTAACTTATGGAACTAATTAAGGATACACTTTTTTATTTATTATTTAATGAAGAGACTCTTGAACCTCTATAACTTGAGGACAAGTTATGGAGTCATACCACCTTTTAATTAGAACTAGACTCTTCATTTTGTAACCTTTGCTAACTTTTATGAGTTTTATGATTCTTAAATGTGACTATTCATATAACTTGAGGACAAGTTACAAAAACACACTTTGGAATCAACTCTTAGATTAAAATGGATTAGAAACAACTATTTCACACAACTTTTCTATTAATCTAAGAACAAGATAACTCAAATCATTAATCTTCAAGAAATTAGCATGAACATACAAACTAATACAAATCTTGAAATTATGACAATTATCTTAGAAATTGGATTAGCATGAACATTACCACATCAAAAACAAGTTTATAAGTCCAAAAACATCTTAGGGTAATGTTCCTAGTCTAATTCCAGCCAAAACAAAAGTCGAATATATGATGTCTGGGGGTCCAACTCGTCGAGTGCATGAACCAACTCGTCGAGTTTGATGCATTTTGTCTTGGACTCGGCGAGTCCATTCATGGACTCGGCGAGTCTGCTGGGCAGACAACATCAAAACTCGATTTTTCAACTACTTTTGCAAGTATAACAAGAAAACAAGCCTTGGCTCTGATACCACTGTTGGGTTTTGAGGATTCTAACACTCCTAAATGTACATGCAACCCTGAATACTTTGGATCTATGTATTCTCTATTATACATGAAAATTTGAACATCCAAGGTATTATACAAATCTAGCATACAAAACAATGAATATAACAAGATATAATACATACCTCTTTGATGTAGAATGTCTTCATGAAGCTTGAGTTCCTAGTGCCCCAAGTGTGACACCTCAAATGGTTCACACAACACCAAATACACTTGGAGTAACTTGAGAGAAACTTGAACCCTTCTAAAATCGGCTAAACCTTTCTCTTCCTAACTTAGTGGCCGATTTTGTCAAAGAATATGATCTTATATAGTTGTTACAATTAGGGTAAACCCTAATTGTCATGGCTTTCCATTTCCTTTGATCCATGGGTTAAAATACACCATGGAGCATCCATGGAGCATCATGTGGGTTTTAGCCCAACTTGATAATTCATGGAGCATTAGCCCACTATACAAGTATGGATGATTTACACAATCAACACATATATTTAATTAGTCTTCTTTTGATCACTTAATTAATTCTAGATTAATTCTTGATCAATACTAATTAAATAATCTTATTAATATATTATAACTTATAATATATTAACAAACCTTAAGTGTTATTTCTCTCATTATAGTCTATCCAAATGCATGATGCCACGCAACCCAAATGGACCATGTCGGGTCGGGTCAAGTCTTACCAATTATAGTTATGGACTTAGACATTAATCCAACAATAAGGGGGTTGGAGACCATCGGTACGCTGGGCGTACGAGGTTACGATGGACATACCGGACGTCATGCATGACCGCATCATCGTCTGCTGGATCTCGGATGGGACAGGACGTAGAGTCGTAGAGGGGCGACGTGGACGTTCCGAGGCCTAGCACCTGAGTACGCTGGGCGTAACTCGGATCAGTCCGGTGACTCCTCCTTCGAATAATATCGGGTTTTAATTTAAATTTTATATTTTAATTATTTAATAAACTTTAAAAATTCATATTTTTTTTCATACGAACTCCGTTTTCGACGTTCTTTATATCCACGCGTAGGTGAGATTACGCTCTACAACTTTCGTTTAGACTCCGTCGACAAATTTTCAAATTATTTTTATTATTTATTTTTAAAAGGTTGGGACAGGAAAAGTTCGTTAAAAATCCATAACTTCTTCATCCGATGTCTGTTTTCGCCAGACTTTTTACCATTGAAATACCATTGTCGAGACCTTCGATTATCATTTAGTTCGTTTCGGCCAAAAGTCGCTCGATATCTGTTTCGAGTTTTTAGTTGTCTACTGCTATACTGAACTTCGAAAATTTATAACTTCCTCATACGAGGTCAGATTTCGGCGCTCCTTGATTCCTATATATCCACCCATGTGGTACTTCATTATACCATATATATTGATAACTATGACTTTTATTTAAATACCTAAGGCTAATGAGTATTTTATTGAAATTTCTCGTTTTACATTTAAACGTAATGACGGTTTTTGTTGTGAATCTTTGGTTGGTCAAAACTTCTTCGTTATGACTCGGTTTCCAGTGTTCTTTATATTTCTGAAAATCTTGACATGATAACTATCATTTTAGGCAACCCAATAGAGACTTTTGAACATTTTATTTTCGATGCTAATTTCATTATATGAAAAAAGATTACAATTTTTGACTTTTTAGGTCATTACATTGATTCAAAATATCAGGTTGTCACAGTCACCTGAAATGAATAGAAAGAAACATTGTAGGAGAGAAGCAGGATCATGTAGTAGAAAGCTTGATCTAAAGAACTCTATGAACCCTGATTATGAGTAGTCACAAGTATTAGATGTTGATAAAAGGCATGATTACTCAAAGAGTATTCTACCATTTATAAGGTCACAAGCTAGCAAACAAAGTCATGTCATTCAAGAGGAAGTGGCGAATCATGAACTTGAAACTCAAGAAGAAGTGATCAGTAGTGCAGTCGAAATTGAAGAACCATTAGGAGCTTACCATGTACAAGAACCAAGCTGCCAGGTTGATGATGGAGCTAATACTGAAACAGTTGATGACTATGAACCATTTATAGAGGATTACTCGCTTTATGTTGATTATGATGCTGAGTTTAATGTTCAAACTTCATTTGAACAACAACCAGAAGTGGATTATCTAGAGGGTATGGTGAGTGATGATAGTGGAGAGGCTTTCTATCCTAAGAGTCGCCATGGTTCTAAGGATAGTGGAGATGATTCTGATAACAGTGAATGTAATGTCGATGAGTCTAACATACAATTTGATGTAGATGTAGACATGAGTGAATTCCATAATACTGTTGATGTAGATGAACATGGAATCTTGAATAATCATTAAAAAGATGAATGGAATGACATGGTTGATGATGAGTTGGAAGTTATTACCATGGATGATTATCAATTTGCAGGATTTTATGAAGATGATAGGAAGAGACTGCTAAAAGAGTTAAGTAAGTAAAGTACATGCTCACATGGAGAGGTTCATGTAAAACCATTTCAGATTGACCAGGTCTTCAAAACCAAGCATGATGTTAAAAACTACATGAACCCACATGCTGTAGCAACAAGGAGGTCTTGTACCTAGCAAAAACTGACAAGATCTGGATTAGGGTGAAATGTAAAGGTGTTGTAAGTAAGCCATCTAAAGTAGGTGATGGTGGTGGGCCCTCAACTAGAAGTAGGGCAAAGTGCAAGGGTAAAGATGTCATTGCCAATAAAGGTACATGTCCATGGGCATTCCAAATATCGAGGGCTAATGAAAATCAGGATTGGTTGGTGAAAACAATATAGGATGAGCATAAATTTTTGCAAACAAGGGCGGTTAAAGCTTGCACTTCCTGATATGTAGCAAACTTAAATTTTTAACAAATTTAGATTAACCCTAAAATTCCAGTGAAAGCTTTACACGAAGAGTTGTGCAAGAAATTTGAGGTAGGAATGTCATTGCAAAAGGTTGCTAGGGCAAAGTCAACGGCTGAATGTATCATTAGTGGGGACTACTAAGTACAGTATGGATTTTTGAGGGATTATGTGTTGAAGAAACTCAACACTAATCCTGGTACAACAGTTCGGATTGATGTGTATCCATAAACCTCCCTATCTATTACCATAAGAACTTTTAGAAGAATATATGTCTATCTGGGTGCATTGAAGTTAGGATTCAAATGTGGGTTAAGAGATTTTCTAGGTCTGGATAGTACGTTCATGAAGGACCCTTACCCTGGGCAAGTGTTAACTGTTGTAGGGTTGGACTCAAACAATGGCATATACCCTGTAGCATATGTAGTGGTAGAGAAAAAATCAACAAGTAGTTGGACCTCGTTCTTGGAAATGTTTGGAGAAGATCCGGATCTAGGAGCAAAGTCAAACTTTACATTCATTTATGATAGACAAAAGGTGTGTATCACCTAACTTTTTTTAGTACCATTTCTAAATACATTTGGGTAACTGATGTTGCATACATTGACTTTTGTTTAGGGAATAATACCAGCAATGGAGAAGATATTCCCTAGTGAAGAACACATGTTCTATTTGATGCATATCCAGGAAAACATGAAGAAATAATGGAAAGGAAAAGACTTAAGTGACCAGCTTTGGGAGTGTGGTAGAGCAACAACAGTTAATCATTTTAACAAAGCAATGGATGAGTTGAAGAAGATCAATGAAGAGGCTCATGCTTGGGTGTGTAAGATCCCAACAAACACTTGGGTTAAATCTCACTTTAGTGGTAAGTTTCTAGAAATTTATTTATAAAATGTTAATCTTCCTTGTTGTGTGTTTACTATATGTGTAATTGTCTTCTCTTAATATCTATTATTCAGGAAGGGCACATACTGATTGTTTGTTGAATAACCTTTGTGAGGTATTCAATTCTAAGCTAGATGAAGGTAGGGATAAACCTATTATCACTTGCTTATAGTATATTAGAGAGTATCTCATGAAGAGGTTATGTGTAGTGCAAAAGGAAATCGAGAAGTGTGAAGGACTTCTAACCCCTACTGCAACTACAGTGTTTGAAAAGATTAAGACCGATGCAACTTAGTATATGGCTAAATACAATGGGGGTAGGAAAGTATCAAGTGGCAAGCACATGGCAAGACCAGTATGTGGTAAACTTGAATTACCAAAGTTGCAGTTGAAGGTTTTGGGAGATTACAGGTTTCCCATGTAGACATGTTGTTTGTGCTATATGGGACAAAATTGAAAATGGTGAAAATGCCCCACATGTTGATGAATGGGTCCATCCTTTCTATAGATTATCAACATGGAAATCCATGTATTTCAACAATATTGATCCATTGAATAGATGTTCAATGTGGCCTAAAAGTGACTGCCCATTCACTTTACTTCCACCAAAACATAAAACACAGGTTTGTATATCAAGTAGACCAATTATATAGTAAACATGTGAACATGGAATGAATTCAATTTTAACGATAATGTATCAATATTTGTAGGTTGGAAGGCCTAAGAAGAAGAGAAAGAGGGGTGTTGATGAGCCAAACAGCCAAGCTGGTAGATTGAGCAGGAAATATCTGGCTGTCACTTGTTCTAAGTGTCATAACAAAGGGCACAATTCAAGAACATGTAAAGGGCAGGGAGATAGTGGTGAAGTTGGAGGGGCTGAAAAATATTTTTAGTAATTGGACCTGGTGCTAGTGTTGTAGGTCTTTTGAAACTAAAGTCATGTGTAATTGTTTGAAGATGTGTTAAGAACTTTTTAGGAATTGCATGTAATGCTTGTGTTGTAGGTCTTTTGAAACTTAAGTCAAGCTTGTGTTGTAGGTCTTTTGAAACTTAGTATGATGGTTGTGTTAAGAACTTTAAAAATTTGCATGTAATGGTGTGTATGTAGTATGCACATTTTGGTAATTAATTAATCTGTTTTGTGTACTAACCTTCACAGATCAATTAATAACATTGTACATTTCAATTGCAAATCAAAACCATCTTAAATGAGCATTTAAAATACAATTAACAATTGCATTTCAAAAACATTCAAGAAATTGAACAATCAACTATTACAAACTACATTCCGTTACCATTACCATTACCACTCCATTACATAGTAATCTAATACATAAACCAAATACAACAACACCAATTTCAAAACCCCCTACATAAACTGAAAGCAAAAAAACCCCTATTCGATTAAAAAAACCCTGCAATGGTTATAAACCAAAAACCAAAACTCTATTACCATCCAAACCTTCACAAGATACTTAGAGATTAAAATAATACAAAAAAAAAAAAAAACACCCATGAACATAACATCATCAGCGGGTAGTTCCACAATTCTGCACTTGCAATGGCAACCCTCTCTTCCAATCGGTTCATTGATCTTCTCAAACCTGGAATCACCACCAATGCCCTAGCACATATAAGAGGATCAGACCATCAAAGGAACCCACATCTTGTACAGTTCCAAAATTGTCTTCCAGGGTTACGATCCATCCATGAAGTGATCTTTATTGCTTCATTCCCACATCTGCAAGTCACCATCTTTGAATCAGAAGTGCTTGGATGTCATGATGGGTGCAACGGTCGAGCAACAGTGGAAAGGAGAAGAGAGATGACAGCCGATTAAGGTAAAGGGTTTGCTCAAAAATCGAACATGCAATTTCTTTTAAAGAGAGAAGGTTACAACTGAAATGATAAAATTGCCCTTGCAATATAAAATTAAAAAATGAGTTAACGATGAAATGCTAACGGAGTGAGCCGGAATGATCAAATATTAAAAGTTTTGAAACCACAGGGACCATCTGTGAGGTTTTTTAAACTTAGGGATTAAACTTGATTTTTTTGAAAACCACATGAACCATTTTTGAAGTTTTGTCTTTAATGCGTGTCCTACTGTGCAAGCTCTTTTGCTCAAAGTTTGTACTACTAATCGAATGTTTATATAACTATTATTTTCAACATTTTCTTAATTTAGCGGATCAACATTTCACAATTCACAATTAAGGTTGAAACATAAGAGATAGTTTAATGCGGTGATTCTCACGAATTTTTTTGATCATTAGGAGGTTCTGAAATAATATTTGTTTAAAGAAGATATATAATGAGCTCCAAATTAATTTTCCTAATGAGCACTTGTGGAGAATGAAGACACTTTTATATATATATATATATATATATATATATATATATATATATATATATATATATATATATATATATATATATATATATATATGCCTTGTTCCACTACACTAAAAAAAATATATATTGAATTTTTTTTAAACATTATTTTATATTTTACCTTATGTTTTAGATTTTGCACTAAAATTTTAAGCTTATTTGATATATTAATGTAGGTTATTTATTTAACTTTATATTCAAGTTAAAAATTAAGTATATTATAGTGATAAGTTACAAATTCTTCCATTTATGATAATGTTTACAACTAAAAATATATTTAAGTTAATAAATTAAGTATATTGTATGGAAATATGAATAATTGGAAGTTTCAAATGAATGTGGTCAAAGAAAAAAATTATTCATTTATAATACAGTATGATGATTATAGTTTTAATTTTTAATTCAGTGTGATATATGTGATTATTTGATAATTTTATAAACCGTTTAAAATTGTGTAAATTATATATCAAACGTATGATAATCTATATATAATGGGTAACAAAATGTACGAACAAAAATATGAACTATAACTTTTAGTAACATAAAAATACAAAAACATTTATTATAACGTTTGTATTAAAAAAGAGATATATACAACGAATAATAAAAAATACGAAAAATAAACATTACAACTTTTAATAATATAAAAACACTAAAACATTTATTATAACATTTATATTAACTTTTCATATTTAAATCACAAATCTATTCAAATATATTAATTTTTTAATGAACAAAACCTTACAACCTTATAAAAGAAATGAAAATAAAAAGTTATTAGTGATTACTAATTAATAATCATAAGTTAAAAATTCTTGAGTTGTAACTAATAAATATACATATATTAGAAAAATCTTATGTTATAGTGTGAGTTTCAAATTAATACAGTATTTAGAAATGTGTATTTATTATTATTATTATTATTATTATTATTATTATTATTATTATTATTATTATTATTATTATTATATTCGTCTACATAATTGGTTTTGATGCATCGTTTTAATCCCTTCAATTATTAAACATAAAGATATTTAACTATAAATTTATAACATACATAGGTGCATATATATGTTAATCAAATCACATATAATATATATTTTCATAAATATCATATGTAATTCTTATCGTAGTAATATGGATAAATTATTTTCATATGAAGAAGATATCATGATAAGTCGTCATAATTACATATCA